TCCTGCTCCAACTGTAAGTCTGCTCCTCCCTCATGTAATTGCCAACATATTCCACCATAGCATCCTCCAACCTAGCCGCCAGCAACTCCTTGCACCTACTTTCCCACTCGCTCGCCCTCACAACCACCTCCAATCCGACCCCTACCTGTTGTCCAGCCGCCAGCCACCACCCTCATCCTAGCTCTAGGGCATCTTTCTATATTTTTTATCATTTATTTCCTTTTTGAAGAGTCTTCATTGTAACCTATTTAAATTTCAGCAATAAAACTTGCATTCCTATTGTGGTTTGGATTAAGTCCAATATCACCAGCCTTTTATTCTTCAATGATAAGGCTTGTAAGAGCGAGGGTTGTCTCCACCCAAACTTTCCTCCTCATCCTATCCCTTAAGGTCGGAAAGCTTAATTCGAAAAAAGATAGAGAAAGAAACCTAAACATAGTTAATCCAGTACATATATTTAATTAATCTAATTAACATACTAATTATGTTTAAAGTTCTAGTTTGGTTATGTGCATAAATTAGACTATTTTGTAGGATTTAGGTCTAGGATTGGATAAATCCTAGATGACTATTTTATAGGGATCATGAAATTGATATTTAGGGTTAAGGATTCCTAATTACATGTGGAATTCATTTTAGTTTTGTATGCCATTTATTATTTTATTAAATGACTAAGACTAACAAACGAATAAATTTTTACATGATAATTTAAGCCTAACTTAAAAGTATTTATAAGAAAATATTTTAATAGATTCTTTATCATAAAAAAATCATCAATTGTTTAGGGTTGTCAAGCTCTTGTTATGCAAGATATTCAGTGTATTTCTAATCTAAATTCTATTTAATGAAGAGTTTACAGAGCGCCATGTATAGAGGCATTACCTAATATAGTTTGTTTAGTTGACATTACCTATTTAGTTTGTTCTCGCAAACTAATGTCTATTGATTTTCTAATTTCATATTATTAGTTGTGCATTGATTAAAGAGTTTGTGGATTTCTGTTTCTAACATTATGAGTTCATTTTGGTCTTAAAATTACAAATTTAATTTAATAAAAAATTTATATTTCTCTTGAATATCCATATGATATCACATCTCGTTTATGTTTTGGTTGATAAATTGGTAGATGTCATTTAATTTAGATAGTTTGAACAATTATATTAGTGAATAATTATTATTAACGGCATTTTATTGTTAAAAAGATAAACTCTCAAGTTACCAAACTCCATCTTGCCATGATCCATGTGGACTCTTCCAAGCCTAGGGTGCAAGATTGTCACAATTCACATGCTCAAACCACTTAAGGTTATTTTTCACTATTTTTTCTTCAAACGCTACCCATGACATTCCTCTAATATAATTAGTTCCCAGTCTATTATTCCTAATTTTTCAAATATGTCTTAATATTCTCAGTTATGCCACAAGACTTGTCTGTTAATAACTACATTATTACCCCATTCATATTCATACAGCATAAGTGACCTAATTATACTTTTATTAAATTAGTTTTAAGTCTCCATGATATTCTCTTCCTATATAATTATTTTTGAGGAAATTCTCCATTCTAACCACCCATTCATAATTTTGTTAAGTTATATCCGCATTGATTATTTAACAAATTCTAAATACTTATATCAATCGCACCTACTACACTTATTTCCTTCCAACAAAAATTAACATACTTAGTATCGCCATTAATTTTTAAGGTTTGCTTAGTATCTCTATTCTTATCATGTTTGGTTGCCGTAATATTTCATCCCAATTCATTGAAGAATTAGTATGTGCCCTTCAAAACTTCAAGTGTATTGCTTCCTAGAAAAGAAACACATGTGCTTATCATCGCCATCCGCTACTAATCCTAATTTTGATCCATAAGCTTCCCATAATTATTCAAGGCAATTTGATTATAGCAGAGACAACTTGTGTGTAGCTCTGTGATACACTTTCTCATTTGCCAATTCACACATAGACTGCTTATGAATGAATATGGTAGTAAAATATGACAATGTAGCTCAATATCACCAAACTAAAACCAGTGTACTATTATAGATTCAGTTGTTTCCTATGCCAAAAATACCTCAACAATTTCAAAAAAAAATGCTTTTACAAACCACAGATAAAATCAGAAATCAATATTCTGAGTATCACTTAAAAGCCCGTATAGTATATACATTAACCCTTATTCCCCTTATTCAAAAAAAAAAACCAAAATAAAGGCACCCTAACCAAACACCAACAAATTGAATCTGGAAGATAAAACCCATGTAGAGAAAAAACAATCAGAAGCCTCAGAAGTCATAAAAGTAAAGATCTTTTTAACCTTGAAAGAAAATTTGACGGGTATCAGCAACAAAATGCTACGCAATGTGCCAAAGAAAAACATTTACAATGGAATAAATGCATAAAGAATGACATAAAAATTACAAGCTTCCCATTGTATCAAGCATGAGAATTACTATCAACTTCTAGGAAAGCATTAGAACACTATTCTCTCCACAATCCAACCTTATAATTGATGGAATTAAGATAAGATATTACGGTTTGTACTAGATTTGTTCATGAGAATTCCATAACTCTACCTGCAAAGCCTACAATAGGTCAATGGGCATGAAATAGAGGAATAAGAGAATGAATAAGAAGAAGGGGGAAATGGAGCAAAGATAAGGAAGCTTTAAAGAATTTATTGTCATCCAAAAAAAAAGAAAGAAGATAATCCCCATAAATGACCCTATAAACTTTCTTAATAAGGTTTTAAGCGCTATAGGAAACGTTACATTATGGCCTCGTAGAAAAAGAACAAATAAAAATACTTGATTGAATGGCAAATGTGAACATCAAAATTAGTACACCAATGAATAAATATGGACGGCCCCCACTGCAAGTGGCTCGGAGAGGTTAGATGAGGTTGTGGATCCTTATAGGTGAATTTCAACTTGGCATTGAACTTTTTGGTTTGGGGCGGTCAATAGTGAATGTCTTCTATCGAGTGGCGACTGCTTTTGTCGATTGAGTGATAGGCCTCTAGAGTTATAGTGAGAGGTCTTTTGGTTGGGAAAAGTGACCCCAATTAGTCCTCGTTTCCTGATGAGTGCACTATTCATGCCTTCGGTATATAAGCAAATGGTTTCTCATGCTAAAGCGAGTGCACAAGGATCCTGAGAGTAACCCCAGCTTAATTCTCTCGGTTCTTAGAAGGAGTACCTCTGTCTTTGAGCTCTTACAATCCTAACTTCATATCTCCAGCTAGCCTAGTTTGCTTGTATAGCAGTCCTGGTTCAGACTTTCAGAAAGGAAGTGTTGGACTAAAAATTGCCTTGAATGATGATGGCAACTAGGTAGTATTAAGAATGCAACAACAACAACAAAGCCTTAATCCCACTACGTGGGGTCGGCTACATGAATCATTTTTCTTCATTGTGTCATATTTAGTGTCATATTTTCATTTAGTTCAAGTAAATTAAGATCATTTTTATAAAATAAGCCCAAGTCTTCTTAGGTCTACTTCTGTCTTTCTTAACATAAGTCGAATTTAAAACATCTACTCTCCTAATCGGATCATTAGATGGTCGACGTTTAATGTGACCAAACCATCTAAGATGACTTTCTCTAATTTTGTCCCTATCACGAATATATTCATTTCTCATTTTGTCTCTAAGTGTAAAGCCACTCATCCACCTAACCATTCTCATCTCGGCAACATTGAACTTATTATTATGCTTCTCTTTTAAGGGCCAATGTTCAGCGCCATAGAGCATTGCAGGTCTCACCACCGTCTTATAAAATTTTCCTTTCAGTCTAAGCGGTACTTTTCTATCACACAAAATGCCCGAAGCATTCCTCCACTTCAACCAACCAACTTGAATTCTACTATTAACATCCCCATCTATATCACCATCGCTTTGGACAACGGACCCAAGATATCTAAATCGATCACACCTTTTAATAATTTGATCACCCAAAGTCACACTTCTGTCACTAGAGCTATTACTACTAAAATTACATTCCATGTATTCAGTTTTAGTTCTACTTAAACGAAGGCCTTTAGAATCCAATGTAGACCTCCATAATTCAAGTTTTTCCTAGGCTTTTTCTCTCGTTTTATCCATGAGAAGAATAT